AAAATAAAATAAAATAAAATAAAATAAAATAAAATAAAATAAAATAAAATAAAATTAAAGTAAGTTTTCAGAACATACATTTAAGAAAAAAGAACGGGTGGGATGAAATCCCATGTATACCTTTTGAATATGTGAATAGATAATGTAAAATATGCACTCAGTTCCAGATGTGAGCATTACCCTTAGAAAGGAGATTCTGAGGAGCAGCTGTGTCATAGCACTTGCTGCACAAAATGTCCTCACGGGGCTGCGAAGATGGCTCAGATAGATGTCCTTGTCCTGGAGATGCAGTGATAGGAGAATCCCTGTGCCCTAACCAGATCAGTGAGCTCCGTGTTTAGTGGGAAAGTGTGAGTGCCCTCAACATAGTGGCACCCCTATATATACATACACAAACACACACATAGACACCCCCCTCCATTCAGATATATATGTAATATTTATATGTATCTATGTGTGTATATAAAAATATTTTATATAAATTATATAAAAATAGTATATATTATAAATAACATATATTATATATTAATATATAAAATACATTTATAATATATTTTATATATTGATATATAATGTATAAAATATACAAAATGTATAGTTATATAATTTGCATATATAAATATTAATGCATATATGTGCGCACATAAATAATTTTTAAAATGTTTCATAACTGAGAACAAACTCTATGAGGTAGTTTAGAGTAGACTGAAGGTGAAACTACACAAGAATAAGTCACTACTTTAAAGGAAAATTGAACTAAAGAAAAATTATAAAATCAATCAGAAAGGTTTTTAAGACATCTTTCTTGAGCGTGAACCCAGGCTGTCTCAAAATGGGTATGGAAAGCAGCTGTAAACGTGGGCATGTAGAGTGAAGACAGCTCTGAGCCCAGATCATTGATTGCATGTACAGACGAATAAAAATCATCAAAAGGCACATACAGGGTTGTACTTGCGACCAGGCTGGAAAAAAAGATGCCATTATCATTTGTATCTGATGCCATTTTATTTTCCTCCTGGAAAGAAGAGAATGGCTTTGCTACAAACTAAACTGAAGGCCGAGGACAGCCATTGATTGTCCCACAAAGCAGCTGTCGACAAGCAGTATTGTGAGGGTCTGTTAGTGGGCCCAGGGAGGGTGAAGTACACAGAGGGTAGGATGACCATCATTATTTGCAAACTTTCTCTGTATAAGATTTTACTAAGTACTTGCAAGGTCTGTGCTTTTTACTGTAACCATCATGATAACCAGGTAGTGTAGATACTATTGTTGATCTCTGTATTTTGTTTTCTTTCACCAGAGGTAATAGGCTAAATGCACTCAAAAATTTTCTGAAGGTTCTTCAGACACTTAAGTGACTGCTAGATTCTAAAACTCATTTTTCTTCCTCTCTGTTTATTCTGTCTGGCTCACTCCAGCTTCTTTAGGTCTTAGCTGAGGGCAGATGTGTAAGAATAAACAGACTGGATGCCGGAGTTGCCTGGAACCATTATAAAATGGAGTTTTTCCTAGGCACGTCGTCTTTAACTGCAGCACAAAATGAAGCAGAAAAACAACTGTTAAGAAATTCGTCTTTAGAAAAAAAAAAAAAAAAAAAAAAAAGAAATTCGTCTTTGCTATTTCTTATTGTTGTTTAAACAAAGTAGTTTGCTCTTAAGGAAATTTAAATATTTCCCTTTTTGTAATTAAATCTCTTTTACTTGAGTATACTATTTTTGAGTACTTCAAAAGTTATGTGAATGCTTGATTACCTAAAATTTGAATCAAATGGCTGAGAAGCACTTAAAGAAATGTTCAAAGTCCTTAGTCATCAGAGAAATTTAAAGAAATGTTCAAAGTCCTTAGTCATCAGAGAAATTTAAATCAAAACAACCCTGAGATTCTACCTCACACCAGTCAGGATGGCTAAGATCAAAAACTCAAGTGACAACACATGTTGGTGAGGATATGGAGAAAGAGGAACACTCCTTCATTAGTGGTGGGATTGCAAACTGGTACAACCACTCTGGAAATCAATCTAGTGGTTCCTCAGAAAATTGGAAGACACAGCTATACCACTTTTGGGCATATACTCAAAAGATGCCCTACCATACCACAAGGACATATGCTCCACTGTGTTCGTAGCAGCCTTATTTATAATAGCCAGAAGCTGGAAACCACCCAGATGTCCCTCAACCGAAGAATGGATACAGAAAATGTGGTTCATTTACACAATGGAATACTATTAAAAATGAGAACATAATGAATTTTACAGGCGAATGGATAGAACTAGAAACTGTCATCTGGAGTGAGGTAACCCAGACCCAAAAGCACATGCATAGGATGTACTCATTGATATGTGGATTTTAGCAAAAAAGTAAAGTACAAAATACCGAGGATACAACCCTCAGACCATAAGAAGTGAAACATACAGAAATGCCCAGGTGAGGAGGCTTCAATCCTACTTAGAAGGGGGAAGGAAATAATCACGTGAGGCAGAGGAAGGGAGGACCTGGGTGGAAAGCAGGAGAGGGGAGGGAAAGAGGAACAGGATCAGATATGGGGGGGGGAGGAGACAGGACAGAAGCCCAGAGGGCCAAGACAATAATGAATGGAAAGAAGCAGCCTAGGGGAGTGGGAGGTGGGGGGACCCTCTAGAAAGTATTAGAACCCTTGGATTAAAACACCCAAGATGATAAAAAAAATTGAATTGTATCTTCTACAGCAATTTTGTGTGTATGTGCAAGGAAAAAAATAGGCATACATTCTTCTAAGACATCCCATATTTTCAACTTTTGATCTAGTATGTTAACTTTGGACTGTCATGCTGGCTGGGTATAGAATCAGTTGTACTTTTATTGGAAGCTTTCTGTTCTAATAAAAGAGAGTCAAGCTCAAGAAGTCAGGATTCTGACGTATTAAAGGAGCCGAAAGCATTGACCAGATGAGGACTGAGCACAGAGGGCTGGCGGGCAGCTCTGCTGTCCTAGGGGACCAGGAGGTTATGCAGCCAGCTGCTGGACTGCACGCACCTGCTGTCCACCTGCCTGTAGTGATGTCTCCTGCCATTGCCATCGGGGTCTGCAGAGCCAACCATCACTGTGAGTTTTAAAGTTTTAAAGCACAGTTTTAAAATCATGGCACCTATTTCTGGCATGAGACTCTTAGAAAGTAC